GGGGCCGGGGTAGGTGTGCAGCCGGTAGCGTAACCGCAGACTCATCTCCCTCCTTCGTCTCCCCTGGGAGAGAAAGCAGCGTGGGCAGCCAGAGGTACTGAGTCCCTGTTTAGCTCTTCTTTTTATTCATTAGCATAAATTGCAGCTATTTGGGGGGGACGGGGGACGATTTTGAGAAAGTCTCGTCACCACGTATGACGAATCTCTCCTGTTCGTCATGCTTCCGACGTGACCCCCTTCCCGCCCGTCACATTCCTGGCGGAGAGGGGAAAAAAAACCCCAGAATAAAAACAACCCAAAGCGGAAGAAAAAGCAGCACGCCACAAAACCCAGAAGGCAAATGAGGAGCTGGAAAAACTTGAAGCATCCGGAAGGAATTTCAGGGTTTTTTTTTTTCCAAAACTCTTGCTGACCCCGTGTGGCTTCTCCTTGCCATCCGGGTGGCGGCGAGGGGCGGCGAGCAGGTGCCTGCCCTGCAGCCGTGCCGTGTTATTGCCAAGCCCGGCTTTCCCCGAAGAGCCGCTGCTGCCCGGAGGAGCCGTGGCCGCCTGCTCTTCGTCAGCGGCACGGCTCGAGGCGGCCGCGCTGCATTTTTCTTGACTTCCTCCAGCTCAGCGCTCGCTTTGGAAGTGTTTGTAGCGGTGCCTGAATAACCTAATTTAGAGCCCGTTAGATGGGGAGGGTTTTGGCAGGCGGGGCCGTGCCGGGGAGTTGGATGGAGGGATGCGGCTGGCCGGGAACGCGGCTTTTGGCAGCTCTTGCTGGATATTCGCATGTCGAACAAACAAGGCTGGGAGGGTCCTGCGGAGAAGAGCCAACCTCCTCCCTGCCCAGGAGCGCTCGATCACCGCTGGCTGGTGCTTCCTCATCCATCCCAGCCCCGCTCCCCTTCCTTGGGGGCCCGGTCCCCCAGGGGATGGGAGCAGAGCATCACCTTCCCCTCCCCGGTGTCATTTCCCGACTTCCCACATCTTCCCCAGCTCCGGTTTCCCCAGACGAAACACCCACCAGGCTTTCAGCCTTTCACTCTTTCCAGGCGGCAGGATTTGGGGATTCACAGCTCCCCGTCGTGGGCAGGTGGGTGCTCCCGTGGCCCAAATGACACAGCAGCAGGTTGGGGAGGCACCCGGCGGGTCGGGGTGCAGGGATGGGGAGCACCCACCTGCACACGAACCGGTGACACCCCGGTGCTTTTCCTCCTGGGATGCTGAGTTTGCTGGGAAGATGCACCGAGCACCTTAAACGTGCCCAAACGCCCCGATTTAAACTGGCTGATAGAGGCGAAAGCGGCGGCTGGCGCAGCCCAGCAGCTGGCAGGGCTCGTCCCCATTGTCCCCTCGTCCTGACCGTGACGGTGTCCCCGGGAGAAGGGGTTTTTTGGGGGGGCTGCTCGGGTGCACTGTCCCTCCGAGCTGGGAACACAGACCTGCTCTGAGTCATCGGGTGACCCAGGCGGGAGAAACCCTGCCGATTGTTTCCAGCTGTGTTATTGCAGCACTGCTCACCCCGGAGCGCTCGGCCGGAGGAGAGAATAGTCCTTGGCCAGCCGGGAAATCTGCCGAAAGCCGTGGGCAGCGCCCGGTTCAGGCCGTGGGGGGCAGGGGGTCCAGGTGCTGCGGCCACCTCCTCCCACCGGCATTTTGGGGAGCTGCTGGCATCGCCGCCGTGGCCAGACCCCGCCAGGTCTGCCAAAGGGAGGAAAACAAGGAGGGGAGAAAGCAGCCCCCGGGGTGGGAAGGCGTTGGGCAAGGAGGGGGCGGTGGAGCAACGTTTCCCCAATTGCACAAGCCCCGAAAGCCCGGGGCAGGGGTTGGCCCAGCCGTGGGATGACCGGAACGAGCAAGGAAAGTGGTTTGAGCTCGGTGGCGTTTCCAGCACAACCAAGGGCGAGTCACGGGGCATCTGCTTCGCACGCTTCCCCGCGGCGGTTCCTCAGGCAGGGGT